TTCTATGCACTCCATTAACCCAGCCACACACACCACCACCGTCGTTTATGCAACGGTTCAATAAAAATGTCTGGACAGAGTTTGGAGACACAGACGTTAGAGCCGCTAAGGGAGGAGATCAGTAGATTTAGCTTTTCTTTTTTTCGAGCGGGCTGGACATTTTTCCAGCTTATGACGCTTACATCAAGGAGTAAGCTTTTGGTTGGGCGGGATTGGATTCAAAATTTTGGGCAGGATTGGATTCAAAAAATCTGAGCGGTATCAAGAAACATAATTTTTTTTTTTTTATTTTGGGCGGGNTTTTCGGATGTAAAATTTCGAAAATTTTTGATATTATATTCCATATAAAATTTCCTAATAAAATGATTAAAATTATATTGAGAAATTTGTATCGCAAAAATAATAAATGTTAATGAAATAATTGAATTTTTTTAAAAAAATGCGAGTTAGACGTCTTTTTTTAAGACTCACGTTTAACGTATTTTTAACTATTTTCGATATCTGTTTGGACTATTTGATATGCCCATAATATAGTCTCGAAATAAATTTTGAGATGACATAAGCAATTTGTAGATTCGATTATTGTACGATTGTCGAAGAATTTTTAAAATTAACATGTTATCGAAATTCAAATTTATTGTGATTTTGCTCTTATTTGGTGGAAATTTAAATTAGATTTTTAGTAAACTTTGATAAAAATTAACAGTTATGGATTCCATGAAATATGTTATTAAAATTAATTGTTAATTTTGATTTAGATTAAAATTTAGATTTCAATTGATACTAAACACGATTTAAAAAAATAAAAAAAATTCTCAAAAGTTGGGGACACTTGCCCTTTAGGACCCCCCAAGGTCTGCCCATGGTTTTGCTGAGCAAAATGGTGGTGGGGTTTGTGTATTTGGATTTGTGGTGGAAGAAAGGATTGTCCAAGTAGCAGATCAGGTTGTTAAGCAATCCAATTTCGCCATGTGGATCTGTATGGATCAAATGGAGCTTATTCTTTGGATTGTTTTGACTCAGTTGTCTTGTTTGATTTAGAGTGTAGGGCTCCAACCGAAATCATTGGATCAAGAAAGCTTTTGTCTTCTTATCACTTGAACTAGCCTCGACATTTACGCATTTTCCGACAAGTACACGGCACCAGTTTGTTTATATCCAGCGTAGATGGGTTCTTCGTGGCAAATCAAGACAACGTACAATCAGGAGTTTCCATACGAAGGATTTATGGCTCCGGTTGTCAAATATAGAAAAAATAATTGTATGTACTTCGATTTTGAAAGGGTTTACTTTAATCATTATGTATTGATACTACATAAGAGGAACGAAAACATTGACACTTCAGAACTACGACACGGGACAAGACCAAGAAACAACTCAACATTTCTCTTCAAT